ATGTTCGGAATTGAGGGGAAGTTGGAAGACCGTCTTAGATCAGGCTGGCAGCTTGTATTCGTTGACAGGGAGAATGATGTGCTTCTCCTTGGTGACGACCCATGGGAGTAAGTTCTTGGTTCAGTTACATATAGCTGTTTGCCATTGGATACTTGTATGCATGGAGTTCCTCTCATATCCGAATTTAATCCTTGATCATCACACTAATAGTTATCCTATAAAGAAACAATGACTAAGCTAATGGAATATGGTATTCATCATCATTCGAACATAAAATAATTATTGGATCAGGTCCTAGTAACTTACTTTTTGGGAACAATAGTAGTAGTAAACAAACAAAACTAAGCATGGATCCAGAGTGACAGATACTAAGTTGAGTTCTTGCAAATGCAACCTCGTAGTCCTAATTTATATTGAACTTAACGTGTTGGGCTCCAGGTGGGATGCCCATGTGTGGAAAATTGGTTAGGATATAGAATACCTTTGGCCCACAATCTAATCGATGTGTTCAAAGGCGAAGGCATAATACTTTGTATTACTCAAAACTAAAGGCGCAAGCCTCTTGATCCTCAAATTGATATATTTGATTGAAACATATAAAATTGGTTTTAAAAAGTATTATTTATAATTGAAGCAGAACAATTAATCTCAACACATGCTACATTCAATTTTTTGTATGATAATTCACATATACTTCCAAAATTACCCCCACAGACTTCTTGTGGAGGGGAAGAATTGAAAAAATAAAAGAAAAAAGGAACAAAAGAAAAAGATAACTGGGTACCTTGAGAATGGCGCTTAGAGCTTCTGATGATAAGTGGGATGCACCTTAGTGCTCCTGGGTTGTGGTTGGGAGCTGTGAAAGAGGGGAATGGATTTTGGATATTAATTTCCATTTGGTCTTATGGTTTCTCCTTATTTTAGCAACTCAGGCCATTTGGCATGGGCTGTTAAAATTTTTAAAAGCCCAGGCCAAACAATGCCATTTGGCCTAAGTTTTAAGAAGAGATTGGTACCTAAGCTGTGCCTCTCGTAAGACACAGGCATGCAGATGCCTCCTCAAGGTTTTCCTTTGTCGGTTTTTCTTGAGGTGCGTTTCAAGGACCCCATTAAAAACACCAAGTTCAAAATCTTATGATTCTTTTAACAGTGGTAAAGCAACAAAAGTTTTTTAATTTTATGATTATTTTGGCTATACTAATCAGAAGACTGGAGGCCTTTCTGTTGACTACCTTTAAGTCTTCCTGAACAGTAAATGATATAATTTAAAGAGGCTCTTGAATGTTATGGGGAAATTGATTTGGTCCTAATCTATTTACACCATTTTTAGCATTTTTTGTCCAGGAATTTTCTGGATCAAGTGTTCACTTATTACAAGACATACGCATGATCTGCATGTGAGAGAAAGTAAAATGGGCTATATGTAAAATAGAAGATTCAGTTTATGGAGGATGTGGACTCATTTAACCTTACAAAATTACCCTATGCTCTTGTTCAACTCAACAAAATTATCCTTATAATTTTTTGGTGGAATAAGTGAACATGTTCTGCCTTTGTGTTGGTAACAGATTAAGTAAGGGTAATACAGCTTAAAGCCTAGTCAATATCTAAACTCCAGGCCCCCACTGTAGCCAGAAATATATAATCTTAAGTTATTTGTGTATATTTTTATAGTAGAGTTTTTCTTTTGATTGAAGTTTTCTGGGTAAAAGTTAGCCAATGATGCTTGCCACAAATATTGAATCAATTACTGGCTTTGTTACATGCTAAAATTGTCTATAGGTCAATAAAGAAAAGACCTTAACTTCGAGCACTAACACATTTGAAATTGTGTATATTACACAGTAGTTTTCGATATTTCCATTTTCTTCTCTCTTTATTTCATATAGCGAGTCTGCAAAAAATAAAATCTCACTGTTAAACCAAGCCTTAGAAAATCTGTCTTGTTTATCTTGGTCAAAGGGGAGCTTGAGGACTAGGGAAGCGAATGGGGGGAGAGAGGGGATGAGGGGAAGGGTGAGGTTGAAGTATTGCATGGAAGTGCTGTACCATTGGAGCTATGAGCCTCACACAGATAACCTGGATGTCAAATTACTGGTTTACTAAAATTTTAAAAGAAGAATTAGAGTGGTTTCATGTTGATGTTGAATTAACATTGTTAATCAAAGAAGCACCAAGAATAATTGAAAACTTTCTTTAGTCTTCACTTCAACTTTTCTTTTTAGGTGGTTTCTCTAGTTCACTGAACTGTCCTTATAGTAGGGAACAATTAGAAATGGCATTTTTGGGGGGTCTGACTAATATATGAAATCATATGATATGCAGGTCATTTGTGAACAATGTTTGGTATATCAAGATACTTTCTCCCGAGGATGTACACAAAATGGGGGACCAAGCAGTTGAACCCTTTAACCCGAATACGGGTCAAAGGTTGAACAGCAGTGGCGGTGAAGCTCAAGACATTGTTTCCGGGCTCCCATCTCTTGGCTCACTTGAATATTGAACTTAGCTAATTGTATGAAACACTTCCACGAGTTGGTTCTAGTCCTCTGAGGGAGAAACTTCCAGTTGAATGTATATGCTCAATCTGGTGCTCTCTCCCCCTTTCAGCGTGCATTTCTATCAGTATTATATGACTTATGTTCCAGAGACTCTTTAGCTCTGATGAATATGATACGTGGTTAAATTATGTTTGAAGTTTGGAACTCAGAAGAGATAATCATTAAACGTTGAAGATTTATAATTTTATCTTTTTTTTCTTTGGTTCCAGCAAGGAATTTAGCATCGAGAAATTAATGGATTATGAAGTGCAGCTTTGTGGGTGTGGCATTATTCCTGATCTAGCTATTTTTCCTGGTTGTCTGATGAAAAATACTAGAAACACCACACCTGCGATTGCATGGGATAAAATTGTTTGCTCATCCTTTTCAAGTTCTATGCTTGAAAGTTTATTAAAATATTGAGAAGAATTTAATTGATTATAATTATGTGACTGGACTCACTTTATTGTCATTCATTATCTTAAAAATTAGTAGGCCAAAAGTCACTTTAGGTTCGGATGGTTTGGCAACTTAAAATTTCAAGAGTCTAGCCGGGCGGCTTTACTTATAAAATATTCGAATATAATTAAAATGTATAGCCGCGCGGCTATACTATTTAAAGATTAATATATTTAATATATTTTAAGAGTACAGCCGAACGGCTCGTTAACGAGTATAGCCGTGCGGCTATACGATTTAAATAATAATAATAATGAGGAGTATAGCCGCCTGGCTATACGGTTAAAATATTTGAACATAGCCGTTGGGCTGTACTATTTAAAATTCAAAAGGGTATCATTTTTAGGAATTTTTGCATTGTGCTATGCCTTGGAACATCATGGGCCGATTTTGGAAGGAAAAGCTCTCCATCTATATTCATATTAGATTTCACAAGCTTTAGAGGGATTACTTGTAAACACCATGTTCTGCAAAAGCATTGCAAGCTTAGCTTTATATTATGAGAAGAATGGTGAAGCTTACTGGGTTATGTTTTGAATTTTTATCATGGCATTTGTTTTGTTGTATCATTCCACTTCCCCTTAAGTACACATATTATGGGGTTGGGGTCATTTTTCAAAACAAACTCAGTCAAGTAATCAGATTGGCTCCAAACTCCAAACTCTAAAATAATATATGAAATCAAGTAAGAGAGCTCTATCAATCTTGGATCAATGTCTCACCATGGCGCATATCAAGCAAATTCAAAGCCACCTCACAGTTTCAGGTACCCTTTTCGATCCTTATGCAGCTGCCAAGATCATTACCTTCTGTACTGTATCCAACTCCGGTGATTTACGACATGCGTTTCAACTCTTTCGTCATATGCCTTACCGAACCACCTACATTTGGAACGTCGTGATCAGAGCTTTAGCTGAGAACAATGAGTCCATGAGAGCCGTATCTCTATACAGTGATATGATTCAAAGTGGCTTCTTGCCCAACAACTACACTTTCTCCTTTCTTCTTAGAGCTTGCGCTGACCTCTCTTATCTCTCTTTCGGTTTGGTGCTCCATTGCCATGCCATTAGGCTTGGTTGGGAATCTCACGATTTTGTGCAGAACGGGTTGATCCATTTGTATGTGACTTGTGATTTCATAAACCCAGCTCGTAAATTGTTTGACATGAGCGTATATAGAGATGTTGTCACCTGGACTGCATTGATTAATGGGTATGTCAAGTCTGGCCAAGTTGTCATTGCACGGGAGCTGTTTGATCAAATGCCTCAAAAGAATGCGGTTTCTTGGAGCGCTATGATTAATGGGTATGTGCAAGTTGGGTTGTTTAGGGAGGCCTTGGAGCTTTTTGTCGATATGCAGGCATCTGGGTTTTTGCCTAACCACGCCGGGATTGTTGGTTCACTCACTGCTTGTGCTTTTCTTGGTGCACTGGATCAGGGAAGATGGATACATGCATATGTCAACAGGAAGAGGATGCAATTAGATAGAGTGTTGGGCACTGCTCTCGTTGACATGTACACAAAGTGTGGTTGTATTGAAACTGCTCGTGCTGTATTTAATGAGATGCCGAGTAGGGATGTCTTTGCTTTTACTTCTTTGATTTCGGGGCTTGCCAATAACGGCGATAGTGCAGGTGCCATTTCGCTGTTTGCGAGAATGCAGGATGAAGGAATTGCACCTAATGAAGTTACATTTATATGTGTGTTGAGTGCTTGCAGCCGAATGGGCTTGGTGGATGAGGGATTGCGTATATTTGGAAGTATGACTAGTACTTTCAGGATACAGCCAGGCATCCAGCACTATGGTTGTTTGGTAGATTTACTAGGGAGAGCTGGGATGCTAGAAGAGGCAAAGAAGGTTGTTAGAGAGATGCCCATGGAACCAGACTCTTACGTCTTGGGTGCATTGCTCAATGCTTGTAGAGTTCATGGAGATGTTGAGTTGGGTAAAGAAATGGTTGAGCGCTTGTCCGGGAAAAGTTTAGACCACAGTGGTGTGCATGTTCTTCTTTCAAACATCTATGCCTCTGCCAACCAGTGGGATGATGTCACAGTGCTAAGGAAGGGAATGGAGGAAAAAAAAGTGAGAAAGGTGCCGGGTTGTAGCTTAGTTGAAGTTGACGGCGAGGTTTTTGAGTTTGTTGCTGGAGATAGGTCGCATGTGCTCATGGACGAAATCATGTTGGCGTCGCTTGTAATTGACAAGCATCTAAAGTCACGTTGCTTTGACAGGGATGATGACAAAATAACTGAGTAACTCAAGTTTTTGCAACTCAAATGACATCGGCCAAGCATCACAACAGTGTTGAACTGTTTGTATCACTCTTCTGGGATCGACTTCTTTCTAGAGGTAAACACCTTTTTACATTCGATTAAGATTTGACACACTCAACAGAAAGGCCTCTTCATGACATTAACCACACATATGTATGACAAACTCGTAGTTGAACATTAAAATATATGTAACCTAGTAGGAGTCAATGGTGAGGTTTTTGAGTTTGTTGTTGGAGATAGGTCACGTGCTCAGGTACAATATTTTGTTGGCGTCGCTCGCAATTGACAAGCATCTAAAGTCTCATTTGTTTGACAGGGATGATTACAAAGTAATTTAATAACTCAAGTTTTAGCAACTCAAAAATCACTCTTCTAACACATATCCAACAGAAAGGCCTATGCATGGCATTAAACACATGGAGGTTTGAACAATGCAAGTGATAACTCAAGTGGTTAAGAGCATTTACCTCTACATTATCCAAACTCGTAGTTGAACAATAACAGACAACAGTAATATGCTCAGAAAGGCAGGAGTGTCTGCAATATTTTTATTTTTTCTTGATGTGTCTCCAAAACATATGCTTCTTGTCCTTGTTTTCTTTGATCTGATATGCTGCTTTTCCTTGGATCCTGGAACTTACCCGCCAATCCCTGGAATCCTGCAAAGTAGAAACGCGTAAGATTGAAAACATATACACTGTCAAATCAAGTTTATATTTCATTCATTATTATGTTGGCAACAAATTAAATCAAAAGGCTTGCAATTCATGTTTCTTTTATTTTTTTTATTTTGGGGTTGAAGCACAATAATCAACGATATAGTCAATTGGGATCTTCCAGCATCCAAATTGGCAATTCTCGCAAATGCATCTTTAGAAAGATTGATGGTTCCACACCCCGTTGAACCACAATAATCAACAATTACAACTACCACAGATTTATTAGTGCAAGGAGTTTGTATTCCTCTATTGTTTATAGGCCTCGTACACCTGACCTCGAAATGATTAGTTAATTAATTATTTGAATTATTTTTAAAATCCAAATATCATATAATGTTTTGAGTTTGTCCTGTACATTCGCATAGAACATTCATATAATCATTCTTGTATAGCCGCATAGATAAACACACAAATTTTGCTAGAAATGAAAGCCCTAGTGCTAGGACTTTGATTTAGAAAGTTGTATCCTCATAGAGCAAACGCCATATTTAATTTCATTATTCCATTTGTTGTTTAAAAAATAATTACTAATTAAAGTAATTAAAAAAGGCTAACATATTACTTAATTGCATATACTAAATTAAAGAAGTAGGCCAAAAAACAAAACTAAAGAAACTAATTTTATATTTTTTTCATTTTTTCATTTTTAAAAAAAACCTATCTCGACGAAATTTCCCATATTAAATTTTCATTTTAAAAACTATAGCCGCACGGCTAGAATATTTATATATCTACAAAAAAGGATGCCCCCATGGTCTAGGTGTCACATGTCAAACGAGTAATGCAAGGCGGCTATACTATTTTTGAAAAAAAAAAATTAGGAAAAAGAGTATAGCCGACCGGCTATACTATAAAAATTTCTAACAAAATCTAGTATAGCCGGAAAAATGCCCGCATTCTGCTTCAATCAGGAAACCGCTGTCTTCATATCGATAGCACGCAGAAGCCAGAAACAATACCCATTACATCAAATCTTAATGCCACTTAAGAGATAATAGGCAATATCATTTTATTTTATTGGAAATTAACCTTTAAGCAATTTTTGCTTTAAGTTTAATCCATACGACTTCATTGTTTAAGTGAAACAATGTCTTTACTTGAATCCAAAAGCAAAACATAACGTTGTCATTAGTTCGAATTGATAGATTGAATTGCCTCTATAAGGACCGAAAAGAACAAGCTTAACAGTTCCATAACGGTTGAAAGATTAAATTGCATATCTCATGTCTAGGTCTTCCATATCTTAGATCTGAAACTCTTTGTCAAATTGCATGCTCATCTCTCCTCTCTCTCGCTCTCCCTACATTTTTTGTTCTCGTTCAAGGCTTGCTCTTGATTGTCCACGGCTGGAATCGAAATCTAAGCCTTGGTTCTCTGAGTTGGATTCAAATCTATGGTTGTGGTTTGTCATCACTCCAATCTCACCCACATTTTCCCTTTGCAATCTTGGCAACCAAACCATCGGCAAGTTCAAGACAGTTGAGCTTCACAAGGCAAGTCACGAGCAAGTTCAGATCTTGGTTGCTCTTGTTGTATTGTTGCTAAATATTGAAATCTCCAAATATGTGTTAATAATACGAGTGATCAGTATAAAAGTAGATCATATCTGGAGTGTTTAGTGGAATGGAAAGTTGGTTAGAAAATATGAGAACGTGATGATCCAAAAGGAAAAGAAAAGTTATGTAATTTTGACAATTATTTCCGTCCATTTCTCCGAAACTTTTTCTTTATTACTATAACACTGTAATTTTGTAACAATGTCTAATTAATTGATTTTTTGTTTGGAATCCCTAACTACAGTTCTTGCTTTGCAACTTTACATCCAAACATGTAGATTTGAAATCTATGAATTTCAAATGCATAGGTTCATAGATTTGAAATCTAAATACACATTCAAATCCTAGGCGATCCAAACGGGGCAGATTTACAACTGGAAAGGCCTAGTTTTGAGAGTTAATCTAACCTCCTCTTGTTTCCCTCTTCCCTTCTATTGAAGAATTTACCACGCAGTGCGCACTCTTCAGCTACATGAAGGCTTCATCATATCTGGATTCTTTATCTACCAAATACAATATAACACTAAATCCAGTGCACAGCAACACTATTTCGCGCGATTATAATCTACCGTCACAACGGCCATAACTTGACCTCTGAAATTCATAACCCATCTCTTATGACTTCTGAAATATTCTCGTGTAAAACTTTCACATCCAACCCATAACAAAGTCTTTTTATCTTAACCCCTCGAAACCTTATTGTTCCTCAATGACTTGCCACCAAGGAATTATCACAATCCAACCTTTTTTTAAGACTCTAATTTGCTCCGAAATTAATGGTTCTTGTGACCTCTAAACACCCCTAGCAAGCGTTCCTAGCTAGTTATGAACCAGCACCTTTCATGGTTAAACAGCCCTTAAATCCCATGATTCCCAAGATCACTAAAAATATGCTCACTAAACATAACTGGTTTGAGATATTCATGCTATCATCCATGCAACTTCAGAATGTGCTTCTCTTTCCCACTTAAAAACAAGAAAGCCTATTATTTAAAATTTAACATATTAATCATACAACTGCCCACTTACAATAACTGAGAAAACAATGCTATCCAAGATACAGCCAAAGAATGGTACATACACTAGTATCATTCAATATATATCATGTTCACACAAATAAGTATAAATATTCTCAAATAAAACGCCATATTTTTGTTTTTACTCCTGTAGAGTATGCACTGCCAACTATCAGTATACATGGTAAAATGCTAGCACATAGGATTAATTGATGAAATCAACAATTCACAGTATTATGATAACATAACCTCTACAATTTGAATTATGCTATCTGGCTCATCACCAAATTTTCCCAATCATCCTATTAACAACCTCCAAATAGCCAAGCCTTCTATAAAACATATCTTTCAAAAAAAATTCATCTTTCCATAGGAAACCGAGACAAATAAAGAAAACAGCAAACATAACTCTATAAAGTAAGAAAATTTACAGTTAACCGTACCAAACACAAAGATTAAAATGATTGCCTTCTCCCTACCTGATGTGCAAAATCTCCAAGTACAATGAGGTAAACCACAAATACCATCAAAATCAGTCATGCAGTCATGAATACAACAGGGAGACAATCTTTCACCTTCCCAACAATAAATGGGTGAGAAACAGTTAACAAAAGACCCTAGAACAAGTGAAGTAGTAAGGGTATAAACTCAATGTAGGTACACACATATGCATATGTGTATGCTAAATTGAACCCATTGATCAGCATCAACATACTGTAAAAAAATTACAGAAATATATAATAGAGTAAAACAACAGCCGAAATGTATCATATTCAGATAATATATATAGAGAAAGGGCAAGAGCCAATATTTTAGACATAAAATGATAAATACATACCACAGCGTCCGATATAAACTTATTTTATCACGAATCCACAACAGTCACAACGTGCCCATCAACCAAAGGCAACATTTTTTTAAATTATAAACTATTTATGGAATTACCAATTTGCCATAATCGTCATATTCACACCGCGGCGGCTTCCTTGACTGGGGACGGTGGTGTTGGCACGGAGTCCGCGGCCACCTCCGGAATCTTTACATAACCTATCTTCTTAGGGCTGGCGTCATAGAAATCGTCATCGAAGGAAGACGCAGAGCCATTGTCGTAGCGACTGAAGAAGACGGACCAAGCCAAGTACATGGTAGCGGCGGTGAGAGCGCCGCAGCCGACGCCGAAGAGCAAAGAAACGACGATGCTCAGGATGTCCCTGGTGCGATCGCGGAGAGAGTTGAGGTCGTAGGACGCGGCGGAGGCCGACGTCGTTCACGCCG